GGTCAGGAAGGCTGCTCTCATGTGGGAATGTTTAAGCAGAGACACAAAAGGTAGTGAGAGAGGGAGGCTTGCGAGCACCTGGAGAACAGTCGGCATCAAGGCCCTGAGGCAAAGGCATGTTCAACGTACGGGAGGAGTATTGAGAAAGGCCAGGAGACCAGTGAAGTGCATGAAAGGGAAGCAGGAGGAATTTGCTTCTGAGCAGTGTATCTGTGCTTTGTGTGTTGTCTGAGTCTGATTTCTAAGCCTTCAAGGTCAAAGACTAGACCTTGGACTGTTGTGAATTCACCAAAAACAAACACTGCTCTATGAATCCTTTTTTTTGGGAAAGGGTCAACCCTTGCTCCGTGCAAGTATTTCTAGGTATCATGTGAATAAGGCAGGTATCGAGCTGGTGTTGCAATGTGAGTGATGCCACCATTTGTGAAGCTGAGTGCTGGTTTGAGTCCTGGCTTCCTCTTCTGATCCAGTTTCCTGCTAATGTGCCTGGAAGGCAGTGGAACATTGCCCAAGTGCTTGGGCCCCTGCCGTCCATGTGGGAGACTCAGATGGAGTTTCTGGTTCCTGGATTTAGCTTAGCTCCATGTTGGCTGTTACAGCCATTTAGGAGAAGAGCTTTCTCTTTCCTTCTCTCTGTGTTGCTCTGCCTTTCAACTATGTAGAATTTGAAAAAAATAGGTTTCTGAATTTTTATCTTCTAGCTTATCTCAGCAAGATTTAATTCACAGTTAATTGAATATTGTAAGACAATAGTGCCCCGTTATTCTTGGAAATGTGTTCCAAACCACCCAGTGGAAGTCCGAAACCATAGACAGTACCAAACACTAAATGTACTATGTTTTGCCTATGATAAAGTTTAGCTTACCAATTAGGAACAGTAAAAGATTAACAATAAATAAAACAGTTAAACTTTTGAGCTGTTCATCCCTTGTATTTTTTTAATATTTTCAGACCATGAGTGGCCTCAAGTAATAGAAACCATGGAAGGACAAACGGTAGATAAGGGGAGACTGTGATACTGTATTACTCACACACGCTGTTATTTAGGTACAAGTGAGTAGAAATATAAATTGTTTCTTCACCAAATTCTATGCTTTCTTCCCTTCCAGTCAAAAAAAATATATAGTATAACTGATATAGATGTATGCTATAACTTAGTATGAAACCAACTTAATATGGCTCAACAAGTGGTAACACGTGTAACAGAACACATTCACATTTATTTTCCATGATACTTACAATGTTGCTTACCCCTTTTGTTTTTTATTATGTACAAGGAATTGCCTCACCTCTTATTTTTCCTAAGGCTGGAGGCTTCTGTGCTGCTAGTCTCCATTTAATATGAGCATCAACAACATACACTAATCTATTAAATATTACATCAGTTAAAAAGCCAAAAATTAAAAGGATAGGTTTGAATTAGTCTGGACTTCTTAGCTATTTGAGAGCAGAAAGGGAGAATTCAATGTGCTTTTGGTGATTAAGAAAAATGAAAAAGGGATTTTTGACATGTCTCCACTGAATACTATATTAAACCAAACATTTACATGTATATAAGTATAAAAATTAACAATTGTAGGAAAAATTTGTATCAAAAGTTATCTAATCTCAAGATTAGAATGCTCAGCAATATAATAGGAAGCCAAGGCAGCTGGTAAAAACACAGTACAAGGAATTAGAGATTCAGGGTAAACATGACTGTGTGTGTGAGGGAGGGGATTTCCATTCTAAGCACATGTTTAGAACTAAGGATGAGTACAAAATATGTTTCTACTAAGGAAGAGTTTATTAGGTATGATATTGTTTAAATTATTTTAGCAGCAATCTTCAATACAGAAGGCAAAAAAAGCTGTCTTATAGGAAACATGGGCTTTATTTCAACTCTGCCATTGAGGGTTTATTCGGTCTTAGTGTTTTTCGGATGACTTGTTCTTAGATGCTCAAAATTCTAATTTTTGGGGGAAGAGATGAGTAAAAATTGAAAGAAAAATATTTTCTGTGTATGCAATCTAGGTAAAATCATAATATAATCAAATATAAACTAGCTGCCTTCTTTTTTGTTTACTTTGGTTCCTTTTAATGCATAAAAATTGCTCTACTTTTCACAAAAAACATATGATCCACAAATTAAAAATGCATTTGATTCTCTTAAAGACATTTGATAGAGAAATACTGCCTTAAATATTGCTGGACATATTAAATTCCATTCATTTAAAAGTGACAGACATCATCATATATTCATTAAGTGCTCAGAAGAATTTAAATAAGATATATACTGTTTCCAATTTGGCAGTAGGCCAGCATACCTTCCCGTCATTACCAAAGTATCATAGAGAAAAGTCCCTTTCTGCTGTGTTGATTTGTTTTGCTAGTCATTTACTGGGAAATTCCCTATGTTGTGAATAAATCAATCTTATTTATTATTACGTACCATTACTCATGTTTATTACAAAATTTGATCAGAATTTAGATTTTTTAAAAAGTTTTGCAAGAATTATTTTTATCTTAAAATATTTTCTCAGACACTCATTTCTTTTTACTCAGTTCAGTAAATCTTAAGTGTACAATGCAATGATTTTTATGCATTTTTTTACCCATGTAAATACTGCTCATATCAAAATATAAGACATTTCTAGCACCCCAGAAACTTCTCTACACTCAGTTGACAACCAGCAAAGTAACTACTACTCTGACATTGGTTAGTCGTACAATCTCTTGAGCTTCATATAAATAGAATTATGTACTATTTATTCTCTTGGGAATGACATTTTTCCATTTAATATTAAATCTCAGATTTACTCAGGTGTTACATATCAGTTCATTGTTTTTTATAGCAATGGATTTCTAAAAGTTATTTTATAATTCATTTATTTAAAATGCAGAGAGGTCCCATTCATTGGTTCATTTCCAAACGCCTGCAATAGCTGAGGCTTGGCCAAGCAAAAACTAGGAGCTTAGAACTCAATCAAGGTCTTTACCAGGGATGGCAGGAACCCAATTACTTGAGCCATCATCTGCCTTCCAGGATATGCATTAATAGGAAGCCAGAATTGGAAAAAGGGCCAGGACTCCAATCCAGGCACTCTGATAGGAGATACCGGCATCTCAACCAAGTTTCTTAACCACTAGGCCAAACTGCTGCCCCTACAGTTTTCAATCTACCAGAATTTATTCATGTATTCTCATGTTGATAAACATTCATGTTATTTCCAGTTTTAGACTGCTATGAATGTCTTTATACTCATTTATTATTTTTTGCACTAGGGTCACTTAATTTATAAGTCCTAGAGGTCCTATGTATTTAGCTTTACTAAATAATGCCATTCAGTTTTTTGAAGCAATGGTGCTCATTTCCACTTCCACAAGCAATAAAGAGTTTTTTCTCTACAACTTCATCAACATTTGGTGCTGTAATTTCTTTAATTTTCATTGTTTAGTAGCGTCTTCTTGTGTTTTTATTTTGCATTTTCCTGATTACTAATGAGCATCTTTCCATATGTTGGTTAGCAATTTGTATTTGCATATTTTGCATATTTATTCATGATGTCTTTTTTGCATGCTGTCAGATTAAGGCTTTTAAACTTATTGGTTTGTGAGAGCTCATTGTCTCTTCTGCAACACACGTGTATTAAAAATACTGTCTCCTAATCTGTGGCCTGCTTTTTTATTCCTTTAATATTGTCTTCTGATTAACAAAGTTTTTAATGAAATCCAACAGAGCAATCTTTTTCCTTTGATTATTGATTTCAGAGGTTTTTCAAGAAATCTTACTACCCTAAGTTTCTGAAAACAATTTGTGGAAGGTTTATTTTTTATTTTCATATTTAGGTCTGTGATCATTTAAAATTTCTGTGCATGTGAAGTAGGGGCCAAAGTTCAGTGATTTTTTTTTATGTAGCTATCTAGTTAATTCAGCATTACTTATTGAAAAGACCATCATTTTTTCCACTGAATTGCAGTGGCTCTTAGTGTAAATAAGATCATAAAATACTCTGTTCCATTGATTTGTTTATCTATATGTGCACCAACACTGTTATAAAAGTTCCTGATATCTTTTAGTTTATCTTGTTTTTATTTAATTCTTTTAGCTATTTTAGTTTTTTGTTATAGTTCTGTAAAACTTTGAGAATCCATTTGTTTTTATACACACATACACATTGCACCTAATCTTGAGATAAAATTGAGATTGATATTTTAACCATATTGAGTCTTCCAATAAAAGTAATTGGTTTACCTTACGTTATTTAGGTCTTCAATTTTTCTCAGCAATAGTCTCTAGTTTTTAGTGCAGAAGTCTTAGATGAGATACTTGGTGTTTGTGAAATTGGCTATGAATTAAGATTAACACTTGGCATTGCTTACAAAATATCTTGGGACCTGAAATCCTGCCTCTGAAATAAGAATTTCCAGAGTAGCTCAGGAACTGCCAACATTATTCAGTGTAGTAATTTCACTTACTAAATGATTGTGTTGCAGTATTGAACATGTAAACTCACTGTAAATCGGGACTGACTGTATCTTTTATTTCTTCATCATTAAAGGCTTTAAAACATAATTAGTACTTTCTCAATTGTTTTATCTTTTTTCATTATAAGCCACTTTTTTTGACAAAGTTCTTTTGCTTCTTTTTATCTTAGTCACTTTGATCCATTTTAAATGTAGAGTGTCACCTGAAAACAAAACCTGAGTCAAAGCTGTATTAAAGTATAGTAGTAACTCACATGTTATCTATTAGACTATACTTTATATATGAAAGTTTAATGATGTTTAATAATTATAATATCTAACACAAATTACTCACTGGGCAACGTTCTAAGCACCTTACATAAATAACCCCATGTATTCCTCACCAGGACGTCTATGATATTGTCATCTCCATTTCATAGAAACTTCATAAAATGACTTAATTTATTTTTATTTTAACCTTCTAATAGTATTGTGTGATTCAAATTTGATAGAAAATGTATTTAATATCATCTATCCTTTGTCTTTTTACATAGAAAAATCATGTCCTATACTAAGAACAGAGGGACATCAGTTTATACAAGACAGCAGGAATAAACTTGAAGCCTCAGGTAATCATTATAGTTTTTGCAAAATAGAATTTTACGTAAAATTATCCAAAGAAATATAATGTAGCTGATTCTTGGTTATTACAATAATTTAAGATCATAGCATCAACATAAAAATTGAAAGTAGATGATGTAGACAAAATGCTGAGAGCAGAGTTCAGTATTGCTTAATCAACAACGCCTAACTTATTTTGTGACAAAAATTTGTTTAAAATTTTAAAAGCTGTTTCCATAGTAGACACCTTGAAAAAAGAAAAAAATTATAAGATCTCACCAGCCAGGTAGTCATGATTATTATTTTCATGTAACATTCCTATCTCTTTGTCCTTTGCTGTCTCAGCTTCTCATTTATCCCTCTCTGCTCTTCCTGCCCCTCCTCCTCTCCATCCTCTTTCCCTCTCTTCTCCCCCTCACTCCCTCCTTCTCCTTCCTGTTCCCTCCCATCTTCTCCCCTTCTCCCTTCTCTTTCTCTCACACATAATTGTTAAGACTTACAGTGCATTTAAAATCCGAGCCCCAGCCCTAGCTGCTGCAGGCATCTGGGGAGTGAACTAGTAGGTATAAGATAGCTCTCTCAGGGCTGGCATTGGGGTACAACAGGTCAAACCAACACCTGCAACCTTAGCATCCTATATGAGCACTGTTTCGAGTTCTGGCTGCTCCACTTCCAATCCAGTTCACTGCTATTTTGCCTGGTAAAGCAGCAGAAGATGGCTCAAGTGCTTGGGTCCCTGCACCCATATAGGAGACTCAGATGGCGCTCCAGACTCCTGCCTGCAGCCTGGTCCAGCCACAGCAGTTGTGACCATTTGGGGAATGAGCCAATGTGTAGAAGAACTCTTTCTGTCATCTGCTTTTCAGTTAATCTCTGTGTAACTCTGTAAATACATCCAAACATGTTCCTTTATCAATGTAGATTTTCCTAAAGCGTGATTTTTTTAAGAAAAAAGCTACTTTCGGGACATGCTCAAGCTGACTTACCCCAAACGGTAGAGTTAGAAATATACCAGGGGATTCCAATTCAATCCCATCAAGGTGGCATGTGCTATCTCACTAGTCCCAGTGATCAATTTCTGTTCACAATTGATCATAATGATAGGACTAAGAACCAAAGGGATCACATAAACAAGAATAGTGTCTACAAATACTAGCTGATAGAATAAAAAAGGGAGAGAATGATCCAACATGGAAAGTGAGATACACAGCAGACCCATAGAATAGCAGATGTCCTAAACAGCACTCTGGCCTCAGAATCAGCCCTTAAGGCATGCGGATCCGGCTGAAAAGCCCATGAGAGTATTTCAGGCATGGAAAGCCAAGACTCTCTGGGGGGGGGGGGGACACCTAAATGAAAGATTTCCGCAAGTGAGATCCCAGTGGAAAGAACGGGTCATCAAAGAAGGAGGTACCTTTCTCTGAAGGGAGGAGAGAACTTCCACTTTGACTATGGCCTTGTCTAAATATGATCAGAGTTGATGAACTCAGTGGGCTTCCATAGCCTTGGCAGCTCATGACAAGAGCCTAGGGTGATTACTGAGGCCATAAACAAGAGTGTCAATTTGTTAAGTCAACAACAGGAGTCACTGTGCACTTACTCCTCATGTAGGATCTCTGTCCTTAGTGTGCTGTACATTGAGATTTAATGCTATAACTAGTACTCAAACAGTATTTTTCACTTTATGTTTCTGTGTGGGAGCAAACTGTTGAAATCTTTACTTAATGTATGCTAAATCGATCTTCTGTATATAAAAAGAATCGAAAATGAATCTTGATGTGAATGGAAGGGGAGAGGGAGTGGGAAAGGGGAGGGTTGCGGGTGGGAGTGACGTTATGGGGGGAAGCCATTGTAATCCATAAGCTGTACTTTGGAAATTTATTTTCATTAAATAAAAGTTAAAAAGAAAAAGAAAAAAGCTCCTTAGATTTCAACTGAATGACTATTCTTTTTAAATCTAATTTCTATCTTCAGACTTTGGAATTATTACAATAGTCTATACTAATTATTTAAGATAATTCATAACGCAAAGGAAATTAACATGTGAATATTTTGAAATATATTTGTCATGTTTTCTCCAGAAAACATGACATTTTACCTTCAGTGTGAACCTCTTCCTCCTGTATCTTAAAAGGAGCAAAATGAAATCCAGAAATTCTACTTATCCCAAACAATATGATTTTGTTAGAAATATATCAGTCTTTAGTTAAGAACATCAAAAAGAACGTTAAGAACATTAAATTTCCAAAAGTTTACTAAATACTAAAACTACTGGATTACATCATTTGTCCATTTTACAGGTTTTGATCTAGGAGAGAGATTTTCTCTGAGACGTGCATTTTGTGAAGGTGATAAAACCTGTTTCAAGTTGGGAAGTTCACTTCTTATTAGAGATACTACGTAAGTAAGATGATCTTTCTTCCACTTAATATGTAAACTGCTATGGGGAGTCCAAATAGCTTGCTTAGAATTAAAAAGATCATGATCGTGTCATTCTCGCCTGAATGCTAAGGTAAACGTGCTCTTTCTGTATTTGTCGCATGCAAATCTTTTGCAATCTGATCTTTGTTCTATAGTGTCAATACTATTTACATGTACAAATTAAAGTATAATCTGTAGAGAATGGTAATTAAATACATTTTTGGAAGAAATTTGTTTAAAGTAGACATAAACAACATTGGTTTTTAAAATGTGAAACTTTAAAGCATAAAACACAATGTGGACTAAGAAACTTTTATTATATTTATTTACTCTGTTTCATGATAAATTAAAAAACAGCCCTCAGATGTTCATCTTGTATGTTGCATAAAATATGTAGTTAAAAAAACCCTGAAATTTTAAACTTGAAACTCGCTTGAAATGGTGTTTACCAAGTTTCTGCTTTGTTATTTTACCATTTTTTTTTCTCCTGATACTGCAACGATTAAAAAAGGAATCACTTGCCATTTAAATAGTGATAATTGGTCAGCTACTATACAGAGCAATAGTAATTCTCCATACGGTTGGCAGTAATTAAAAAATGAATTGTCATTCAGAAAGTTGGGTCACTGCAAGGCAGGTAGCATATATGGTCAAGACATCTATTCCCTGAGTCCCAAGTGAACATTCTCGTGTATGAACACACTGAAATGAAAAAAAGCATTGCAATACTATTTGATTTAATATGTAACAAAAATTTCACATCCTAATGGATAGACTAATGCTACTATATACAAAAGGAAGTGAAAATATTCATTTAAGTTGCAGACAAGGTTGTTGAAAATTTCAGCATTTGAATTCTCAGAGAGAAATAGCATATATCCTCTCATTGCCTAGCATCAGATAAACTAGTTAGTAACTCACTTTTTCTTTGAGAAATTTTCTTCTTAAACTCCTGATTTTGTGATACATCACATACTTTTAGCTTAATGACATGGCTTCTCAAATGTAAAGTGCTCATTAACTGGTAAGAAGTGAAGAATGTTAGAGAGTAATTTGACATTGGGTGAAGAAATGGGTGATTATCATGTGGGACACTTCAGATCTAACTGTATGTACATGTGCTTTAGTGGGCAGCTATTTATGTGCCTTCATGAGCCAACATTAAATCCCCAGGACGTGGGGCTGACATTGTGGCATAGTGGGTAAAGCTACCACCTCTGACACCAGCATCCCATATGGGTGCTAGTTTGTGTCCTGGCTGTTCCACTTCCATCCAGCTCCCTGCTAATGGCCTGGGAAGGCAGCAGAGGATTTCCTAAGTGTTTGAGCCCCTGCCACCCATGTAGGAGACCCAGATGATGCTCTTGGTCCTGGCTTCAACCCAGCCTAGCCATTATGGACCTCTGGGGAGTGAACCAGCAGATGGAATCTCTGTCTGTCTTCCTGTCTCTAACTTTCAAATAAATCTTAAAGTCCCCAGGACATAACAGTTCCATGTTTGGGATTGCATATTAGTAAAGAAATACCAAAAATGCTATACTATTAACTATAGTAGATAATTTTAAATAATGAATTTAAGAAAGACAAATTCTGTTCCAACAATTTTGATCTTTCTCTCCCCCTCCCTTCCTACCAATTAAAACCCCTATAATTCTGGCCAAAAGACAAAAGGAATGGAATCAAAACTTTGAAAGTTCATTGGGTCTGTATGTAAGAAGACTTAGCTGATTTTAAGCAGCCACACTGGAAAACATGCTGGCACATTTAGGCAACACTATTCCCCATTGAATCCATGTGATTGTAAATGTTAGGCATGACTTAAAATATATTTTTCTGACCTTTGGCTCTAAATCACTGTTCAATCCCTGGACAATCAATGTAAGTGAATTCTCTGGCTCCTCAGAGCAGAACCCTGGTAGCTCCACTACAGGAAACTGGAGGGTATCTGGTTAAGCTGACTGGCGAGTGTCAAGTAGCTTGGCACATCTCCTCTTACATTTCTCTCAGTGAGCCAAGTATGCTAGGATGCGTCTCTTGCATGATGCCATTTTGATTTTTCAATGAGACTGGAGTAAAGTTGCAGCTATTTATATATTTGTAAATAAGCTGCCTTGCAGAGTAAGCATGGGAAAAAACAGATGCTATTTTATGTGGAAAATGAGCTCGTTTGTACTGTTCTGGCATATTCCAGGTGAGATTCTGGAAGGGGGAGCCCTAATGAATGTGTTGTCAGATACCTGTTGAGTACATTCAATGATGTGAGCTTGGCCTAACATGGAACTCCCGAAGGCTTTTTTTTTTTTTTTTTTTTTTTTTTTTTTTTTTTTTTAGGGGCCCTTAAGATGAACATCATTGTATATGTAGAAGTGGCACAGGTTCAGGGGCCATCTACTTCTCTATAATGATGTTCTAAGAAAATTTCTTGACTGCTTCTGTCTACAAGTATTCTTAGTTAAGTGAAAGAAATCATTATTTTTATACTTATGGAGAGGTACATTCCAGAATCGTATCCTCTGATTAATTTTAATTGTGCTTTGGCACTGATCAGTACAAATTGGTGAAATTTGGAAAAATAACACACACAACCATACATACACAACTATGGAGCATCTTATTTTCTCTGCATGTATAGTCCCTATCTATCTTTTATTACTTGATTTATTTATGTATTTGAAAATCTGAATTAGAGGGAGAGACAGAGAAGGAGTGAGACCTTCAATCCCCTGTTTCATTCCACAGATGACCACATCAGCCACAGTTGGGCCAGGTTAGAGCCAGGAGCTTCTTCGAGGTCTCCCAAGTGGTTAACAGCAGCCTAAGCACTTGGGCTGTCTTCTGATTTATCCCAGGTGACTAGCAGGGAGCTGGATCAGAAGTGGAGCAGCTGGGTTATGAACTGGAGCCCATAAGGGATGCTGGCATTGCAGGGGGTAGCTTTACCCACCATGTCACAATGCCAGCCCGTTATAGGTTGATTTTATAGAAACTCATTTCAAATAAAAATATCTTAGTAATGAACATTTTAGAAAATTATGAAGGTTGAATTTCCACACACTGTTGATTCATGATGAACCATGTGTCCTTAGTTCAACTGGCCAATTAGGAAATCAATTTCAAAGATACCAAGGAAGTAAATTTGCTTATTGATGAATGAATTCAAGTATGGTAAAGTCATATTTCTCAGGGTCTTGATAGCTAGTGACTGACTAGAATACAGCATTGAGAAAGATTGAGGCTATTTTGTGTTTAGCATGTTAAAGTGCCATAACTGATGAGGGAAAATGAGCAAGGGAAGTGTGCTCTTAAAGGCTTCAAGTCTATAGCCTTTCTAATGTAGGATGAGCCCTATAAACCTAGGGCTTTTGAAATTGATGCAGTTTGTGAAAATGGGAGGAAATGAGGCTTATGTGGAAAAATAATCAACACCAATTAAACTTCATGAGATTTTGTGAGATTGGATAATGTAGCTAGACACAGTGACATAAGTGAAAGAATCACTTACCTTTTGTGACAAATATCCAGTGAAGAAGTCTGCATTTACTCACTTGCTCATGCTCGCTCATGCTCTCTCTCTGCCCCTGATTAAATTACTGGTTGCTTTATAGAAGCAAAAGCTATTTAGTTTCATAGGTTTACATAAAAAAGAGTAGGATGTTAGGAGCTATTCTAATTTGCATTTTACATTTTATATGCATAATAGTCCTTGGGAAATAGGAAAACCCAAATTAAAGATTTGGAAGATGTGTAAAATGTTTAAGTCTTTCAAATTTCCTGGACTTTAATAATTCCTTTGGAAATAATCCTAAGTATGGGCAATGCTATTATGAATATTGTAGCATAATTTGTGCCTTGCTTTTGCTGCTGTTGAATGATTTATCTCTTGGGCATGTTTTTCTATATGGGCCTTCATGTAACTTTATTATTATAAACAACTTTTATAAATAACACTAACATAGGGAAATTTTTTCTCTTTAGGATTACTTCCATAAGACTGACTTTTAGAAATGGAATTACTACTTAATTTTAGGGACATTTATAATATATTTTAATTATATATTCCATCATGGTCTTGTCCATCTATTCTGAATGTTTTCAAATGTCTTCAGAATCATTTGTTATAATCATTTTAAAATTTTGTGTTTTGATTTTTAACTTAAAATTCATGCTGTTTCAAATAGAATCTTTAGTTTACAATATGTTTCAAAAGTTCCTAAAGTGTGTCACTTAAGTGCATGCAATGTGTCTAGAACTTATCCTTTTATTCAACAAGCATTTGTTGGGTATTGCAATGGAACAGGAATTTTGCTATGCCCTGAACTTAACACAGAGGAAAGAATATTGTTCCAGTCTGTCTTCCTGGGACCTTCTAGAGTGGAAGGAAAAACTATACTTCCCTCTTTTCTTGACTTGAAGAAAGTGAGACCTGCTGCCTTTTATCGTGCTAGCTTAGACTCATGACTCAAATCTCATCTTTTATTAAAGACAGACCTTCCTTATGCATTATCAGGACTGATTTTCAGTATTTCTGTTCCTTCATTCATAAGGTCCTAAATTCTAACTCATGTTTCATTTTTTATTTCTCTTCTTGGGTCTTCTCCAAGTCCTCAAAACCAGTTAAACTCTGAGGCTCAAAACTAAATTCTGAACTCCAATACTGAAGCTCCTAATTGCTGGGCAGTTTAGCAGGATTATTTTACAATTCCACTAAGCTACAGAGAATGACTATTTATACATCCCTTGGGTTTTCATTTGGGGCATTCTTTCTTTTTGTGGACAGGAAGTTTTCTATATAAGGACATGTAATTTAGTTAAAAACTTGCCCAGCTGTTTTTATGAGATTGACTGTTACACATAATTCTTTATGTCATCACTGTATTTCCTTAATTATAGTTTGGCATACCAGGAACATAGAGTGAATCACTAGGTCATACATTCTTAGGGTGAAAAGAAAAGCCTGTTATAATTACTGAATTCCTTGA